CAGCAGGATACCTACCAAGCACCCCCCAACAGGAAGCACCCCAGGATATGATCTACCAAACAACCCATAGCTAGTGGTTTCTTTGATGCACAGTGAAAACAAGATGGGTTACAGAGTCAGGAGAGTAATCTCTAGAGACCCTACAGGAGAAAAAGTGTCCAGCTCCACCATGCTACGAGTGCCCTGCTGGGATCTGAGGCCCATGTACCAATGGGACATAAAAGGTCCCACCTTGTGGACAGAGCAGAGACAGTCTCCAACCCAATATCCACACAGGAGGGTCAAGTCTACCCGACAAGATAACATGCAGTTGTAGATCCACAATGGAAATGTGGATGCCCCATGCCCAAGAAAGGAACTTAAATAGCAACCTTCTGTGGGGAGTCCCTATGCAAGAGAGCAAGGAGGAGCTCATAGCAGGATGTCAAGATCCTACATGCCAGACAGAGTGATCCCAGCTTCATAAGACAGGAAATACAAGGTTTCTTTCTTCAGTATGGTTACTGCTGGGAGCCCAGACCAGGGGTTGCTCCATCTACCATGGAGGGGAGCTGTTCTCATCACTAGACCTGCTGTAGTTTCTTGGAATGGGATAAGCAACTGGACAAGATCTGGGATTATAAAAAATGATGCAAATATCCCACTCCACTATGCAGCAGAGGAAGGGATGCAGGCTGAGGCTTTCAGAAAAAGTCCTACCTTTGCTTGCCTTAAGAGCAACCACAGACGTCCATAGCTTAGCTGTAGGGGTTAAAAAAAAAAAAAAAAAAAAAAAGCACATGGCCACTGCTGCCCACAGAGCCATGGGGTGTGCTTTCCCTTTCCGTCGCTATGCAGTGATTTTTGATAGATCCGCCATTTAAGTTTGTGACTCTTACTTTGGTTGGTTGACACTTCCACTCTTGGCTCTGGGCAGGTGTGGGAGGTGGCAGCATTCGTTCCTTGATGCTCTGTTAAGGGCCAGACCTCAGCTGGCTGGAGTCTGCCCAGTTATATTGGGGTAGCTCCACTGAAGTCAATTTACACCAGCTGAGACTCTAGTTGGCACGCCTGCGCCCTTCCTGCACGTACACATCTGCAGGAAGGCAGAGTCAATTCACTCCTGTAAAACAAACCAAGGGGACTAGAGGAGTTGGAAGGTTTCAAACTACATCACATACCAGAGGCAAGGGACCAGCGTTGCCCAAGCAAGGAACTGCCACCTCCAAAAAGCATGGGAAGCTGCCCATCCCCTAAGCTAGCACATCACCCCCTACCAGGTCCTGCATTTCTGGTCACAACATTTTCTGAAGCTGATGAGCTGACATTCAGACCCAAGACACTAAGATGTGTGGTCCCAAAACAGCAACAGAAGCAAAGAAACTAGCAGAGACATGATGTGGTTAATGGGTACTCAGAGATTGTGATGTGGTTTAAATCCAAAGCGTGAAACCAAAGAGCACTCTTTCAAAGAATTCAGAGAGTAAACAAGTTGATGTTTCTGTCTTTCAAACCAGGTTCTGGATCCGTGCACTTCACTGTTCTCCTTTGCATGGCACTGTCATACACAGAGTTTTCCACCTGTGGCCTAGGACCCACTTCAATGCCGGGCAAGTTCAGTTTGCATTAAAGTGAAGAGGACTGGAGGGTGATCACCTCCTAGGATCATGTGCTTCAGTCTGTGGCTTTACCAGTAAGTGAGGCGGGAGACCCAATACAGTCGCCCAGCATCCTGTCCTCCCATGCACTGAAAAGCACCGAGCCCACTGCGGGCAGGCAGGATGCACTGTGGCCTTGGAGGAGAAAGACTGGGAGTCGATATTTAAGCTTACCTGCTTAAGCCAATGGCAACCATGTTGGGTCTGATGCCCAGTCATAAAACAAGCCCATGCAGTAACGGCTGTAAAAGCACTCCTTGCTTCTCAGAGCATTGGATTTCCACGGCTGTCACTCCTAGTGAATCCCCTTGCCACAGGCCAATGACTCCTCTCTGCAGCCGGGCAGACATTTCTAGTTTAGAAGGTGTATGGCCAACTCCTCTG